TGAGACAGTGAGATGTCAGAGTGAGACATCAGAGTGAGACAGTGAGACGTCAGAGTGAGACATCAGAGAGAGACGTCAGAGTGAGATGTCAGAGAGAGACGTCAGAGAGAGACGTCAGAGTGAGACGTCAGAGTGAGACGTCAGAGTGAGACATCAGCATTAATTATATTATTATTATGATGTTCTCACCTGTCCTCTGATGTCGATGTCGGCGTATTTGTGCAGCAGAGCTCTGACGATCTCCACATGACCCCCCCTCACTGCTCCAATCAGCACCGTGTCCCCGCTCTGTAGTGTAGACACACACACACACACACACACACTCATCCGTGATGAGTAACAACAGACCCACAGAATGAACACATGAACACAAACACCGTGGTGCGTTCAGGGTCACCAGAGTGTACGCGGTCTCACCCGGTCTGGGATGTTGACGTAGGTCCCTGCGTCCAGCAGGTCCTGGACTATCTCGGTGTAGCCCTCCTTGGCAGCGATCATCAGCGCCGTGTTCCCGTCTTTGTCTGTCATATTGACGTTAGGGTTCCTCTTCAGCAGCTCCTTCACCACCTCAGTGTAGCCGCCCTTCACCGCCACAATGAGGGCCGTCATGGAGTTCTGAAGAGGAACCATAGTACTATATCATATATAATATATATATATATTTATATACCTTGACACATACATCTATACACAGTACTCCTTGTCTTACCGCTCCCTCCTGGTCTACGTCCGCTCCGTTCTCCAGAAGATGCATCACACAGTCAAAGTGTCCTTTCCTGGATGCCCAGATCAGAGGAGTGGTCCCATACTGTCTCACACACACACACACACACACAGAGACAGAGAGAAACACACATGCACACACACACACACACAGAGAGACACACACAGAAACAGATTAATTGATTGATTGACCATTATCTATCAGGTATTGTATCATTATTGTTGTTGTCTTCACCTTGTCTGAACAGTTGACTTTGGCTCCTTCACGCAGAAGAACTTTGACGATGTCAGCGTGTCCTCGACCTGCTGACCAAATGATCGGGTACACACTGTACTGCTGTGAGACAGGCAGAGAGAGAGACAGGGAGAGAGAGAGAGCGAGAGAGAGAGCGACAGCGAGAGAGAGAGACAGACAGACGGGGAGAGAGAGAGAGACAGAGAGAGGGAGAGAGAGAGAGTTAATGACTGATTATCTGTAATATCAATGTTCTTTCTCAGCTGAGTGTAGATGAAGCATTTGTTCATTAAATGTAACTCATGTAGCATCAGGCTAGTTAGCTAGCTAGCATGTTACCTGTCCTGTACTGTTGGGTTAATGTGTTACCTGTCCTGTAGTGTTGAGGTTAGTGTGTTACCTGTCCTGTACTGTTGGGTTAGTGTGTTACCTGTCCTGTAGTGTTGAGGTTATTGTGTTACCTGTCCTGTACTGTTGAGGTTAGTGTGTTACATGTCCTGTAGTGTTGGGTTAGTGTGTTACCTGTCCTGTAGTGTTGAGGTTAGTGTGTTACCTGTCCTGTAGTGTTGGGTTAGTGTGTTACCTGTCCTGTACTGTTGGGTTAGTGTGTTACCTGTCCTGTAGTGTTGGGTTAGTGTGTTACCTGTCCTGTACTGTTGGGTTAATGTGTTACCTGTCCTGTAGTGTTGGGTTAGTGTGTTACCTGTCCTGTACTGTTGGGTTAATGTGTTACCTGTCCTGTAGTGTTGGGTTA